TTTACCCTACAAGTTATATCACATCGTTAAAATGTTGATTATGAAAAAAGGAGTGAGAGAGAACAAGGAAAAAAAATACCTAAATGTTTTATGGGATGTCCCACTTGGGGAACAAAAATAGTTAAAATGCTCACAAAAGAGTTTGAAGACAACACAGGCTTCTTTTTGCAAAGCAAAGATGGTGACAAATATATGATAAGCTGTGACTGTCAAAAAAAGACAATTTTTTTATTATTATTATTATTATTTTTTTTTTAAGAGCAAAACTGATTCAATGTATCAATTTGAGCTGATAACAATTGATTCTCCCTCTTCACCGTAATGAAAATAAAATTAAAACCAAATTAAAAAATGTAATTTCTTGGTCACCTAAAATTTCTTCTTATTATAACGATATCCTTCTCTATAATGTTTTCTTTAGATGTTTTTTCAATAATGTATTGCTTCATGGACGAATGTTTTTATATTATCAATAATTAATAATGCATTAAATATGTATATCTAGGAAAGTTGAATAAAAAATCGACCACGATTTTAGGAGCTGCCCAGTCGCCCTCAATCAGTCCATCCCCATATCTCTGCAAAGATAATGTTAAGAAATTGGTGAATTATTAGATTTGGATATATGATGTAATTTAATGTGAAGTATTTACATACTACTGTTCAATACCGTGCAATACCAATAGCAATATTATATTTTTTCCAATAACTTTTTTTTTTTTTTTTTTTTTTTTTTTTTTTTTTTTTTTTCCAAAATTTTTTTTTTTTTTTTTTTTTTTTTTTTTTTTTTTTTTTTTCTAAAAGTGTATTCTTCATTAAAATTTCCTAATAATTGCCATATTTAGTATGCATTTTCTTTTAGCCTTTTATCTTTTTTTTCATATTTAAAATTTCCTTTTCTATCTATGTGTTTGTTGATCAATTTGATTTAGTTAAGAGTGAGTTCACTAATCAGGCATTTAAATGTAGAAGAAAAAAAGTTGTTCATTTTGCTATTGGAAAATGAAATGGAGACAACCCCACTTACAAACCAAGAAAAAATCGATGGCAAGAAACAAGATATACTCCAAGGATGACTTTTGTTTGTTTACCATAAGCACGATGAATCATGAATTATATTATTGTTATTGTTATTGTTCTTGTTCTTGTTATCAGACAACACTCGTGGAGTTAGGAGGCTCACGTGCTATGTCTTGCAATAATAAGAGAAGAGCGAGAGCAGTTTTTAAGGAAGACTTTCCTTGCAAAATTGTACCTCAATTAATTTCAAAACACAATTGAAAAATCATTCTTCTTTGGAGAATACAAGTTGGAATGGTTTTGTCCTTTTAAGCCTCATTCCTCGTATCTTGAAAGTGACCAATGTTCGGACCTTTTGGGTAGTTTTATTTAGGCAATTCAAACAATATTCTAGCTTCTAAAGCACATAATATATCGCTCATCATACAAACTCATTGTCAATTTTGCTGTTGAGTTTCTCAATTTTCCCACGCCCAAAAAGTTGTTCTTTGCAAATACTCCATCACAATATAATTATATATTCGCCAAAATTTGATTATCCTAAACAATCTGAAGGCACATTCTTAACAACAAGCACCATGAATCAAAGAGAGAAGCATGAAGCCCTATATACATTGTTTCCACAACCTAATACGATCATCTCTCCTTTTTCCACTTGAAGGTTGAACAAATTCTTACATACATAACTTCAAGAGAGAATAAATAAGAGCTAGGGAAAAAGGTAGAATATTACTTTTATCATGATGCATTTGGCGACATGCCACAAATACTCGTGACATGGGAAAATTTGTCACCTCTTTTTTTCCGACATAGTCCGAACGCGTTGCAGAATGCGGACAAACTCGCAAAACAACGAGAAGTCGAAACCAGATATGCTATCAACATTCGCAGGCACTTTGGAGTTTGGAGAATGAGTGAACGAGTTCTGACAAATGATGAAGTCAAACCCACCGAAGTTGTTCATAAAACTCGAAAGCTTGCTACTTGTTAGCTTTTGAATGTCTTCAATTTGTATCAACTCGCCAGTTTGCCCGGTGCTCTGCCACCATTTCTTGAGAATCCCCCTTTTGGTTTCAGAAGTCTCTACTGATACCACAGCTTTCAAATGAATACCAAGCCGGTGGAAAGCAACTTCTGCTCCACCAATTCCGCTGAAAATAGACAATACTGTTAGGCCGTTCGGATAAATGGACTTCAACACAGACAGATAATATCCCAACGTATCCGTTTGAAAGCAGTATCTCAGCGACTGAAGTCTTTCTATTAAACTAATAAATGCTTGAGTGTGATTTGAGGGGTAACCTAGAATAATTTCTAAGTACTCAGGGTCTAGAGGTGCAAGCTTGTTGGGGCCAACCCACACAAGATTCAATGATCTACAGTGATGAAGTATGTTTCTTTGCTGCTCAGAAGAGAGCAATCCATGAGAACTAGCAATAGTATTTTGAAGCCTAGCGCAGAGTTGGGGTATGCCATTGACTTCAGAACTGATGCAGCTCAACTGTTTCCGCGCATCCCACGCTGGCCACCATTTCTTTGTACGCGGCATTACCTCTTCAATGGTCATTGGTGGCTTTGGCAGGATCTGAGACCTGTTTTCAGTTGGAAGATTGTGTATGTAGCCTTCCTTCCTACTCAGAGCCGAGAAGAACCGAGTGTTCACAAATTCAGGCTCCAAGTTGTACAGGAACTTTGAAATTTTTACCCAAGATTCATGACATACAGTCCCAACATTCCCATAAAAGAAATATGGCGGTCTAGCAACCACTCCACTAAGACTCCTCCGTGGATTGTAGTCAAAAGGTCTAGGCATTTCACATTCGGTGAACTCAGGGTACATCTTTTCATCAAGCCAAGTTGGGCCAGACAAAGAGCTGGAATCATCGTCGTATTCCTCTTTTGGCCTCTTCCCTTTTTGATTGTCCTCGTAGTCTATGTGCCCGAACGGAGGAACTGTATCGAAACTAAGCTCTTGTTTAGGTCTCTTACCCAAAAGCCTCTGTTCGGCATTGAAATCCATGGATTGAGAAACTGTATCAGGATAAAGATCGCTGGTTTCCACTTTTGCTGAACCAAGCAAGGGGTCTCTTCGGATACCTTCCGCTCCCAGAGCGAAAGATCTGCAATTGCTTGCAGTGCGTAACTCACTTGTACTCGTGGAGATTGAGGGCTGCACCAGATAAATTTCCACTTTAGTGAAGCAATGAAACATCAATTTGAATATTGATGTGCAAAGGAAGGAGAAAACACACATTGGATAGAAGTGAAAATTTTCAAAGAGAAACAGCAAACAGGGATCCTCAGATATGATGGAATGACGATCTAGCCTCTTGACACCCCAAATTCATAGGGTTTCTCTACGAGTCTATGACGGTGACCATTGAACTCTGATGTGAAGGTTATGACCATGTATAAAATCCAAGAAACTAAGAAAACAAAAGCAAAAACAATGTGCGTGTTTGGAACCATTTTTGAAAACGGTTTTCACATATTTCGAGAAGCAAAAAATGAAAATGAAAACAAAACGACATTTGTTTAGCAAATGTTTTGAAAACGAAAACAATGAGAATGGTTTTTGTGAAGGAATTAGAAAACAGTTCAAAGTTGTTTTCACTTTTCTGTTTTCATTTTTTAGTACTTATCAACAATATTATAATATATTAATTAATAAACACGATTTCACTTTTTTATTATACTAAAAACAATCTCTTAAAAAACCAACCAAAAGCAATTTCAGAATCGGTCTCAGAATGATTCTCAAAACAATCTCATTTTTACTTTTTATTGAAAACAAAATCATTTTAAAACCAATTCCAAACGCACCCAATATGTTTAAGAACAAAAGAAGAATTTGCAAACGGTTCATAATACTAAAGACCAGTGGGAAAGTTTTTAAGGGACTAGTAGAGAGCAAGGAAAAAACAAAAACTTGGAAATTGGTTTAACAAATAACTGATCATTAAATATGAGATTAACCGTAACCTTAACAGGAGTCCGACCCGTAAAAATTGAATCAGCAAGCTCTGAGATTGGTGCTTCTGAACCTGCAAAAATAAACAGGGTAATGGTTGATTCATAGGTCAACTAAACATAAGCAAAACCAAATAGCAGGTGCAAAGCAGCAAAGTGAAGAAAAATAAAAATCGATATCATCTTTTTTGCAAAATACCATGAAATATTGCTTCAGAAGATGATGACTTGTACAAAATAGGAGCTCAAAACGTTGACACCAAAAGATAAAAACAAGAAAAGATCAAGTTATAGCACTGAAATAACTCAAGAGTCAGTTGTTCCTTTGACTGCAAAAAGTAAGTACACTGCAGAAACTCAGAGATAAAATCTCAGAATTCCTAACACAAACATCTATATAACTTCAGACCTGAATAAGTTACATAAGTTGTAGATATTTTGGTGGAAATTCGGATTGCTTTCAATGAGACAAACTTCCCTTTAGTAACATAAGAATAGAATTTCTTTTCATATACGCAAATATTTTCATTTATAATAATCAAATACAACAACTAAATTAGTTTAAACATGACTAAGTATCTCTCTCTTCAAGTACATGGAAGCAGATATATATTGAAAAACTCACCAACATTTTCTATTGCCCAAGAAACTTGAGCCTCGGAGAAACCCATCTCAAGCAAGTGAAGTGTTTTATCCATGGTTCCAAACAAGGTTTCATTATTGGTATCCTGAAAAAACAAAGGCTATACCAACTAATATACATTACAAAATATGTACATTAAATGAAGAACACTAACTTATTCCCAATTTAATTATCATCATGAGTGTTTTCTTGAAATTCCATTGCACTATCCAACTATCAGTCTCCAACTATGTGCTTTGACCCCGTTGGGCAGTATTTGAAAGTTTGAAAATCAGTAACAGGAGACATTGAACAACCGAATACGCAGTTACCATTTAAAGATTTCATTGCCAATACCACGTTTAATAATCATCCATTTAAAGACAACAGTTTTATGAACTTCTTTCATGACGTGTAAGGCAAATTGTTTCCTAGTGAAATGTCACAAGAATACTAGTTATTCCCCAAAATCCAAAGATGTCTAAAAAGGATTACTAGTTAAAGCAAGAATCATTCAAGACCTCATTTCTCTCTTCTGCATCACTAACAATATCGTGTCTCTCCTCTTCAAGCCTCTTAGCTATCTGGGCAGCAACAATGAAGTCCACCAATTCGTCAATTGGAGTATTTTCACCTGATAAAAAACACATTGAAGTTAACTAAAGAATGTAAATGTTGAAAAAGAAAAAACGATACACTACAAACATATTTTAGAGTCATAAACCCAAAAGCATATTTAAATGAGAAGGAGCACTATAATGAGCCAAGTTGTCTCAATTGCAAATACATTTAACATTTAGATACAAAACGAACATATTGTAAAAGTGATGTAATAACAAGAACTACATTTCCAACGATGTGGTATCTAGAGCCACGAATTCCAAGATCTATGATTATAAAGATTATCATACTCTACTTTCACTTTGGTCAAATATATCTGTCGGAGCCCTGAAGAGAGTGCTCCCAAACGTATTTATCACAGGTAAATTAAATGAAATATGCTCCCAGGGCATCAATCACTTATATTAAAAGAAAGCCCAATAGGTATATGTGAAACAAGAAATAGAAAGTTAACTAGCAGTAGCAATAGCACTGGTTATGAGGGGTAAGAACAATATAATCGCTATATTAATATGACAATAAGCTTTTTCTAGAAAATAAACATACCAAGCTTATCAATTGCAAAGTTTATTTCATCTAGAGAGAAATTCATCATCTGTAATGATGCTCTTTTCCCATCATCAACGTCATCGAGTATGTCAGGCTCCTACCAATGAATGAATATTAAGTGAATCAATGCCGTTTAAGATAAACCACACGTGCCCAAAGTATACAAGTGATTATATATATTTATAATCCAGTGGCCACTCCAAAATGTCTTTTCAATACATCAGTACAAACTGCATTATGAAAAAAGTGCAATGTGTCATAACCAATTTTTCATCACAAATTGAAGGAAAGAAACATGAGGAGAAAATAATTGAATGGTCCTATTCTATAGAAGCACATCAAGATCAAGACATTCGCTTTTTCTGTGCTGGAGAGGAAAATATAGTCTCTCTTTTCGTTAAGATTTCAAAGTAAGATTAGATGCTCTTCAACCTAGTTTTTTCTTAGAATTATTCCACTGCCAATTACAATACTATACTTATAGCATCCTAAATGACCAAAACAATGTATAATGAAGAACAATAAGAAAAGTGTAATTTCATTGAGTACATTAAGAAAGCAAAATCAAGAGTAAACTGCTCTGATGTATACAGTTTACCTCTTTCAGCTCAATGAAAGTGGGTATTTCTGGAGGGCTGCTTTCATCCTTGTCATCAAATAAGCTATCCAAAGAATCAGAAGATTCAGAATTGGATCTTTGAGGAGCCTGTGTATTTCAAAATGAGTAAAGTATTAGTGTCGGTAATAGGATAAGCTAAGCATCATATACAAAAATGACCATTATTACAAGATGCGAACGTTCAAAAAGTTCAAACCCTTCTATATGCATTAGGAATCAGCTTATATTCTCTTAAAAAAAGCAAACAAAAATCAATGAAAAAGAAAAGGGGAAAAAATAGATATTTACTTACTGAATATGCAACAAGTGCGTCCACCAACAAATCAACATCATCTACCCCTAATGCAAAAAGGTTATTCAGCCATCAATTTTCAGTAACGGCATTGATAGATCATATCCAATGAAATTATAGAAAAAGAAGCGACACAAATTAGCGGTACTCTATTTTCTAGTCTTTCTAAACTTATAATTCCATTGTTCTCTCCAACTATTCCTACTCACTGAGGCAAGATAAAAAAGCTAGATTTGCAACATTGTCCGGCAAAGAATAACGTACCCTTTTCTTCAATAACTTTGTCAACAAGCGCTGGTAGGAAACCCATCCCAATTAAGGATGATCTTAAATTGCTTCCCGATGAGCTTGCAAAATTTTCCTGGAATTCAATTGGCAGAACGAGGGAAAGGAAAAAATAAACTCAAGCAATCACTACTCGCTATCCCTTTTTTTCTTATATCAAAAATTAAATTTTATTAAACGAGATACAGTTACATCAAAAGTAACACTTTGAGGAGAAGAGGTTCTCAAAGAGAATATAGAAAAGACCCATAAAACTAAAAATAAACAAGACACACTAGTAACTCAAAACGGTCTTCCAAACTTATCATGATCATAGATAACAGGATATCCTTGAAAAATTTATCTGTCTAAGGCCAAAAGGATGCTACATATTTAATCCTTTCAAAGAGAAAACCAGCATCTTTGTCTATCTGCTAAAAAATCCTTTCATTTCTTTCCATCCAAAATGACCCCAAATACTGATTATCTCTTAGTAAAAGGATACAAGGAGAAAAGAAAAATCCATTATTCCCAAAATGGGTATACCCCAAACTGTCCAGAAAGCATAGTTTGAGGAGGAAAATCGAAATCCAAAACTTCTTCCTTGGGCACCAGTGGCTTTTCACGCTCCTGATCAACCTGTGGAAACAGAAACAAAGAAATAGAGAGAGAGCCTTATAATAAAATGGGTTTGGCATTGATCAGAACTATCACTTAAGGAGGATACAGTGCTTGAAAAATGAAATGAAAAATACCATTTTCATTCAAGTGGAGACAGGAGCTTCTATCTGCAATACAAAAAAAGCATCAAAATTTTTGTCCTTGAACAGCATGAAACTATAACTGAAAATACTTGGTTAGGACATACCCAAAAAGAAAAAAAGTTAGAGAAATGCAGCTTCTATATAACATTGACAAAATTGCTAGCTAAAAAGCATATCTAATTTGACCAAAAAAAAAAAAAAAAAGTTTTTCCAAAGCTCAAAATCTAAAACTTTTTCAATTAGACATATGCACAACCGAAATTGTAAAAGAATAACACTTGGCACTCACCCAAAAGAAAAAAGTTTCAATAGTACCCGAAAATGACCACTTCTATTAATTTCAAGCAGTAACGAGAGAAGTCTAGTGAAATTGCTAATAAATTCGGAAAGAAAAGCTAACGAGTCCATAAAAATGGAGGAGTCAAAGAAAAAGGGAAAGAACCAGAAAAGAAGAAACCTTTGCAGTACAAATCTGGTTTAGGCATCCATTCGAGTCAACGAGTAAAGGAGCGCCATTGAAGAAAGAGAAGAGGAAATAATTAAAAGTAATAATGCTCCAACGCAAAATATGAATTGGAGAGAGAGAGAGAGAGAGAGACTACCTGATCGGGATCCCAAGGAGGGACGAGCCAGGAGCGCGGCGCGTGCGTTAGACGCGCCTCCTTTCGCGGTGAGGAACGGATTTGAATGGCGAGTTTTTTACTATTAAGAGGAGATACTTTTCACTTTAATTTCTCTATTTATTTATTTTACCCAAAAAAGAGAAAAAAGAGGAAAAAAGAAACAACAAATCCAAGAAGATTTTCACTGAGGCACGGTAAGTAACAATCACTGTGGCTAGGGGTGTAAGAAATTACCCCGTACCCGAACAACTCGGCTTATCCGATTTTACTCTATTCAAAATTAAAGTTTTCGTTTCCTTTTTCTTTTTTTTTTTTTTGGTTTCCAATTTTCCCAACCTGCAATTTGCGGGTAGAGTTGCGGGACGGGATCCATTTAACTCATTTACTCCCGACCCGGCTACATGAATTTTTGCCTCTTATGTAAAAAAGCCCTATAGCTTAGGGCTTCTTCCTTTTTTCTCTCGATCATTTGCCACCGCTCACCCTAAGTCTCTGCGTCTGAGATTGATTCGTTCTCATAAATTTCTCACTTCTTCTTCTCAGTTCCTCTCCAAGTCTCCACCGTTCCTCTTCTTCTTCTCTGACTCTCTCTCTCCGTTTCGAACAATCACATGCAGTCAGCCTCGTCCCCGATTCCGCCAAGGTTGTCTGCCATCACACCAAGGTATTGTGAGAGTGTGAGGTTGGTTTTCAGGTTTTAATAAGAGTAGAAAAACTAAGTTAATGGATGGCCTACAAATTGATCTAGCGCACACTAAAGTCATTAGCCAATGCTCTGTAAATCTGGGAAATTTTTTTTCCTCATAGCCAATTTAAAATGGCAAATAACTCAAAATAGGAGTCCGTTTTGTTGGAGGATTCGTTATCTGATTTGAATCATGATTCATGATTCGCTACAGTATTTTCTCTCACAAAAAATACACGTAAATAAAAAATGGTTCTAATCCATGAACTTAACGGGCTCTAAATTTGTCAGCAAGGGACACAGGCCCAACCCTCATAACCCGCAAAACCGAGCATACCTAAAGAAACCCAAAGGGTTATGGGTTTGTGTCTCACAAAAGATGTTGCGGTTCAAATTCCCCTCACCCTAAATGTGACGGCTCAGCCCAAATTTCAGGCCCATCCAAACCTACTCGGCCTACTTACACTCCTAACTGTGGCAGTGTAAAATTGGGTTCCGTGGGTCAGTGTGGGCCCCAAATGACTTACACGTTGACTTGGCTGTGACGCATGATTTACACGTGGTATCACTCTCTGCATCTGATCAGTGATGAATTATGATGATGTGGCCTTTCCTCCTAGCTCTTCATTAATGTATGGACATTTTTGTTTTCTTTTGTTGTAGTTCATCCATTTTAATGTAGTTTATGGAACTTGTCGCCGTCTTCTTCAATGTTAACCTGTTTCTTTTATTGTCAAGTCTTTACTGGTATCATTTGTCGTTTCTTATTCTCATGTCGTTCAAGGAATTTGTAGTCGTTTTGAAAGTTCATGTCGTTTGCTTTTTTTTTTTGGGTGTAGCAGTACAAGTGGTTGGACAAAAGTCAAAGAATAATTTGACAATCAAAAGAAAAATAAACAACGATAAATCCACATCCACTTTTACAGTGTTCAGTAGGGTGAAAAAGAGAGAAAAAAAAAAATAGATGAATAATTTTGTAAAGAAAAATGAAAATTTAGGTTATTTAGTAGAGAGAAAATGTGAAAGAAAAGAAAATGAAAATTTATGAGACCCAATAATTTTGAATCTTTCCAACTTTAGAAATAAAGAAAAAAAATTTGATAAAAAAATAAAAAATAAAATAACAATTTTAATCATCATCATTCATCATATTTTTATTTATCTTAAAATATTATTATAAAATAACTTAAATTTAACATTTTCTTTTTGTTTTTTTTTTCTTATACCAAACAACATGAAAAAAAATCATTTTACTTTCTTCACTTAGTATTTTATTTCTCTTTCCTTTCTCTTTTCTATCCATCCTACCAAACATAGCATTAAGGTCGATGCATAATTCGTAAATAAACGATAATAATCTTTCCATAACACAGCACATCATGATAATCATAAATTTGATCATGTCAGTATAACATCTGGAGAGTTTGGTGAAGAAAAGATAAGAACATGTGTATTTCCACTTTGATATCAGAGGCAACAAAGGCCCTCCCCAAAAAAGAAAAAAAAAGGTCAAGAAAAACATCATCGGTGTCAGTCTGGACCAGAAAGAAAGAAACAACTGAAGCAAAAAAAAAAAAAAAAACAAACAGGAGGACCCAAAAATAAAAATAAAAAACAAAAAAAGGAATGTCAAACTCAGTATTTCAGTTTTACCCTTGCCTATAACTATGTCTGAGTAAGTATGATTACACTCAGATTTCCATTTCCATTGACCCTGCAGAAAACACAAAAACAAAATAACTTCCATAAAATGTTAAAAGTTGTGAAAAAACTCTGCATCATTTCTGTTGAGAACCCCTTTTGGCAAGTGCACCACCTCCTCCTTTATCAAATAGTAAGGCCCTCGGATCGAGCGGAATAGTCCCAACTGTTAAAATACCGGAAGATTCAGAAGCCCCATTAAATTTAAGAGGTACTGAGCCAACTGTGACACTGAAAGGTTCTGTACTAGCAGCAACAGTGCTGGTGGTGCCAACTGAAGATATAAGATCAGAAGCCTTCGGGTTGATACTCAATGAACCGATTTTAAAGGTAGATGCATCGTCTTTTGCTTCGACACCACCTTTATCAGGATGTTCATTTCTTATGTTTGTGTTGGTGATATTAGACTGAGAAGAAGCCTGCTCTGATGCAGTGATAACTGTCTTCTTTGAGCTGTTCGGTTCATAACTAGGTTTGTAAGCATTATCTACCTTACTCGGAGGCAGCTCAACAACACAGTTCAGCTTGCGAGGTGGACCCAATGCCGGTATAAAGAATGGACTGTGAAAACTCCTAACAAGTAAACTGGCTTTCTCTTCCTGAATAATTTTCTGACGATTTTCGTAGTACACAAAGTCATCAAGTAAAGAAGTCTTCAGTGTGTGATTCTTGAAAATTCTCAACATCTCAAGGCCTTTCTTATACATGATCTGCAAAGGAATGAGAATAATTTAGCATGTCTCTGAGAGTACGACAGTTTAGGAAAGAGAGGATATAAAGAAGATATGCTCTAAAAAGATACAGAATGCATATTCAAATCAAGGTACTAAAGTAAAATATAAGTTCCTCGATAGGGTTAAAGCAAATACCTCCTGCGTATCCCTGCTATTGGTCACTGGTTTGTTCTCATTGTTCTCCAATATGATGTGCCTTAAGCTGGTGTTAGCGACGTCTTTAATAATGTGCCACTTAACAGGGAAGCTACCACTCCATTTATCTTGCTGCCAAAAATCCATATCCTTATTGAAGTCAACCGGACCGACCATCTCAGCAACACCACAGAATTGACCACTCACATTAACCTGCAAAAGGTGATCTAACCTTAGTCAGGAATTTTACAGATAACAGCTTCAGACTACGAAATTGGAATCTTTTGAAAGGCCACTAACTGAAAGATATCGGTTAGAAAAAGACTCACCGAGAAGAAAAGGAAGATAGGACAGCCTCTAGGTTTCCCTGCAGCTATTCTCTGAGCATCTTCATAAGCACTACTTAGTTTCTTGTTGCCATGGGGCGTAGATGACCAAACATTATATTTAATGCTCTTATGCACATCATCCTCACTGTAAGACTTTATTACAAAAAACTTTGCGTCTGTAAAGTCAACTGGGAAATCATCCTTGTTGTACTGATCAGTATAAATAATAATGTTTTCTTGTGCATTAGTACCACCTGCCCTGGATGTGTATGCTTTAACAGGCAATTCATTTTTTGGTCGGTTGATTCTGGGGCCCCGATTCTGTTCACTCAAAGAATCCAGGCCACTATTAGCATCGTTCAAGGATCTGCCAACAGGCACTTTTGGTTGGACTTTAGCCATTGTACCCCGTCCATGATTACTAGATCCAAAGTCAGATAAACTAGTACCAGGGATAGCTACTTTCAACTGGTTATTATGAGTTGGAATTTTTCCATTTGGGAGTTTGTCTACAGCTTGAATTGAGCCAGAGGAACTTCTACCCTGTAAGCAAACACAATATCAATAGAAAGATATATGTCAAGTTTCTTATTGAAATGCTTATTCCCAGCTCAATTCATTGAACTTATTATGGGTCAATGAACCCTCTAAACCTCATTGAGAATAGAAATAGCAAAATAGTAAAATTTGGAAAGCACTAATATAATAACAAGAACCCACCTCTATACCTTTGCACCAAGAGACCAATCAATATGAAACTTAAAATTTGTAATTTATGTCTCCTCACCTGAAAAACATGTGATGAAGCTGAAGATGGAAAACGACCAGTAGAAACACTTCCATTTGCTGAAGCTTGCTTGCTTGGTCCAGCATTAGATTTGGACCCTTCTGATATCATTGTAAATGAATTCTTTGCATGTGATGTAGGTTTCGTAAAGTTAGGAAAGGCTCCAGAAGTTGAACTTAAGCTATGCTTTGACCCTCTACCATCAGGCCTATTAGTTGAGGCTCCAGCATCAATCAGGGATTCAGAAGAACTATTAGGAATCATGTCTGGTTGAAACACAACTGGAATATAAGCCGGTGAAGAAACAGCATTCTGATAAGGGGCAACGGAATAGTACTGCTGTGCCCCTACAGAAGGGCCATCAACTCCTATCATAGCACCAGGGATGTAAGGATTGTATGGGTTGTATGGAGACTGTGCATATCCATAGGTAGGTGTATAATATACATAAGGCAAACTTTCACTTTGTGCACCCTGCATAAGGGGGGAAAAAAAAGATGTTGAAACAACCATAATTAAAGTGGGACTATTTCTTTCATATATCCTCGTGTTCATTTATATTAGAATGATCACTTACCGTGTACTGGATATCGGGACCATCTACACCAAAAACTCTATTGTGGTCCTCCCATTCTCCGGGTGACTCGAATCCTGACCAATTCAAACAGAAATAAAAATGAGAGACCAACTATAAATCATCATTTTATACAGAGAAAAAAGATCTAGGTATTAACCTGTACAGTAATATCCATAGCTGGTGGCAGCGGGATAAAACAAGCCCTGATCAACAACAAACTCGGGGGCTCCTTCGCTGTACATAGCTTCAACTTGTTCGAATGGACTAGTCAAATGCATGTTTGGTTCCATACTTTGAATCTATTAAGTTAGGACGAAAACCTCAATAAGTCTGCTCAATTTTTTTTTTTTTCCAACTCAATTCAAGCGCTCTTTATGAGTTAAAACAGCATAAGAGCAACAAAAGTGGAGATACCATTAAATTCTCATCAGTTCCGTGTTCTGGAACATGGTACATTTCTATACCAGTACTGCCACCACTGCATAATTCAACAAAAGGAGATGTAAGCATACGAGAAAAAACCAAAAATAATTGCAAAACAAAGAATTATATAAGACTTCGGAATGACCCTAAAATAATAAAGTTGTACGCTGATAACAAGACAATACACTAAAATCAGGAAACAAGAAAATAATAACTCATTTACCAAAAAAGTATAAAATATCAACACCCAAAAAGAAGGCACGTTGAAAACTAAGCCAAAAAAAAACAGCAGAAAGAACAGACGATAATTTTTTCAATATATAAAGGCTACACAAGAAAGATGCCAAACGTTGGTCGATCCCTCGTACCAGAAACAGGCAGAAACGTACTTCACTTTTCATAAAAGCAATCCTCCACTAAGACCAACAAAGGACCGATTTGAGAAAAATTTGAAGATCCCAGTTTCAACTCAGACCTCTAATCAAATTAAAACGCGGAGAGTCGGGAAAAAGTGTCAAGCAAAAAATAGACCTTCTGGTTCAATCTCAAAGAGTCAAAACACCAGAAAATAGAACTATAATATTATTAAGAAACGTGAACAACAAGAGCATACACAGAAACAGAATATTATCAAACTCAAATTATTAGCTTCTGAAATTTACTCAACACTCGAATTAGCTTCTGTAATTAATAAAATCGAACTCATGAATAACAGAAATTTTACGGCTTATTTGAGCTCGAGAAGGCACTTTACTTGGCTAAACTGGATTTTAAGCAAAACGGAATCAAGACAATAATAAAAAAGGAAAATTAGCAGGGAAGAAAAACCGAATAAAGAAACTTTCTCCTGATTTTTGAAACATAAACAACATCAGTATCGCACCAAAAAAAAAAAAAAAACAAAAACAAAAATCATCGTCTTCAATGAAATAACAAAAAACACGCGCACACAAATCACCGTCTAAAATAAATAAATAAATAAATTCAAACAAGAGTTCGAAACTAAACTAAAAAAGAATAACAAATAAGAAAGGGAAAGCGAAAGGAGAGGGAAATTACCAGGAAGAAAATAGAAAAGAAAAGGCCGATTTTACGCCATGGTTGACCTAGAAAGTAGCTGGAGGTGGGAATTGAAGAATCTACAGCGAAGACGAAGGCTCATCAGCGACATTCTCCTCCTCCTTGTACCATGAAAACAGAGATAATAGGGAAAGGATAATTACAGAGCGAAAGAGGAAACCCTAAACCAGAGAGAAAGAACTGATGAGAGAGAAAGAGAGAGGAGAGAGAGAGAGAGAGAGAGAGAGGCTTTTGGAAAGGAAAGGAAAGGAAAGGAAAGAGGAGATGGCGGTGATTTTGGTGCCACAAAAGAGATTCCCCCCACACCCTTAAGACGCATCGTTTCGATCCGATTTTCCATTTTTCCTTTTGTTTTATGAATTGTCTGTAGTGCCCCTGATACGGCCAAGAAACCTCGAGGTTGCCATTGGTGGTGAAATATTTTAGCGGGAAAGTTTAGAATAAGAAAGGAGAGGATTGAAACGACGTCGTCTGTGTTGTTAATATTGTTAAGAGTTTCGGTGACCGAGTGCGGTTGACAAGACGTGGCGAGTTTTGATTCGCGGGAATCTTATCGCTACATATAAATGCGATTATGGGTTGGGTTGTGCCGACAAGGAATTTGGGGGATCTAATTGGTGGAGGGTCCTAGTTTTCATAAGTTTTGTTTATTTTAGATTTCACTATAATATAGCCAGCAAGTGCTTTTTTTGGAAATTTAGAATAATTCACCAAGTTACTCCCTCTTTTTCTTATTTTTTTCTTCTTCTTCTTTTTATAAAGGAAACTTTCTCCTACAAATCCCATTTATTTTGTTGTATTTATATCGTAAGTTAATAGTCAATGAAAGAGGGGATTTTAACCCAAGGACAGCATTATTTATTTATTTATTTATTTTTGGTTATTATTAGTAGTATCTCACTCGAATAAGTGCTTTTTAGAAATTTACAATAATTCATGAATTTTCCCGAGATAAAAGAAAAGGAAACTTTCCCTCCACAAATCCCCATTTATCGTGGTATTTGCTAGTCAATGAACAAGTCCACGTTTGCATAATAGGTGTGGCGTAAAAAAAAATATATATATATATAATATTATTATCTCTTTGGGAAAGGGCATCAAAAAGACGTTTTCAATTTTATTTTTATTTTTAATAAATTTAATAAAAAAAAACAAGTTCCCTTTTCCTTAGTGACCAAGCAAATCAGGAAAATGGTTTTAAATGGGCATTGAATGACGCCAATTTTATGTCTTAGTTGAAGTTTGAACGTTCAAAAATAAAATGCCAAATTCAATCACAAATTCCAAACGACAATGACATCATAGTGAGTAGAAACAAGTAAATCACATTAAAATTTCAGCAACATGAAACATTACAAACAAGAAAGCTACACCTTTCCAACTTTATAATAATAAATATAAATAATGGATACAAACAAAATCAAAAAGTTGAAAACCACAAATAAATACTGTAAAGGGAAAACGTTTTGGAATGCAATTGAAGGGACATAATCGGCTCGATCAACAACATGATTTGATGTGGAAGAATCAAATTTAGTTGACCATTAAAATGGTTAATTAATAGAGGCGATGCAATGGGATTTGGGAGCCGTGGAACTTAAAATTGGATGGAACATTTCCTCATATGCGTATTTTGGCAGAACATTTGAACTTGCAGACCAAGTGAGGAATGAAGGGACAATGATTTTGCTTTAGCATTTCATTTGCAGATTCTTTTTGTGGCTTGTTTTTTTTGCTTTAGCACCTGATGTTCTATGATAAATAACAATTTCCCAATCGCCTTTCTTTGCTTACTTGCAAGCCAATGATTCTTCTGCTTCTTTTAAGTTTAAAACTCAAAACTTGAGCCTCACTTGATCTGCTTCTTAGGTGAGTTGATTGGGACTAAAGCCGGTCATGCTCGGCTTTAGAGCATTCACACCTAAACGTGTTTGGACACAAAACCCGGCTGACAAACACGAAATGCCATTCCTAACCATGAGATATAATAACGTGACTTCATAATACCACAAAATTAAGGCAAATGTCGAAAGAAATGTGAGCGTATAAAATGGATGTACGGGAGGGCGGTTCTATGCTTATCTATCCCAATTTCTCACACAAAACATGTAACAACTCATAAAAATCTCCCAATACTCGAATTACAACCCCCACAATATAGAAGTAGTTGGAACTTTAAAGTGCCTTCCTTCCCCAGAGTATGAAGACCTAACCCAATGCTAAAGAACAAATGTCATTTCACTTGTATCCAGATGAGCCAAAATTCAAGTCAACTCCTTGCTACATATTTCACCAACAGAAGCTAACTCACAGCAGGTGTTGAAAAAGCCATTTTGGTTGAACTAGATGTGAAACTGCCATCATATCTCAATCTTCCGCAACTGATTGATGGTGTGATTCTTTGACAGCCTCTAGGTGTTCTCCACCTACATTTGGATTTTCTGGCTCAGTGTTCTCAACTACCGGCGTTTGCTCCAAAGCCTCTGTTTTTGGAATTGCATTGCCTCGAGTACCCGGGGACACTGGACGCAAACCTGATTCAGGAGGAGCTACAGGATCTGACATTGCTTGTGTAGTATCCTTTTTGTTGGAGATCTGTTCACGAGGTGGATTGCCAGATCTGTCATAGCTGCGGCTATGACTCCGATCACGGCTGCGACTCCGCCTTGGGCTACGGCTGTAGCTCTGATTACGGCTGCGGGACAAGCTCCGGCTCCGACTCCGACTCCTGCTCCTACTCCAGCTCCTACTCCTACTTCTGGTCCAGCTGCGGCTACGGCTGCGACTGCGACTCTGACTGCGACTTCGGCTTCTGCTATAACCCCATGTTCTTACCCTTTCCGGGCTTCTGCTGTAACTTCTGTCCCTGCTCCTACCAGTAATTTCTCTTCTATTATCGGACCGTCCCCATCCACGCCCACGTCCTCTCCCATCCATATTGTTGTACCGATCATGAGGCATACGATCATTTCTACCGAATCCAACATGACCAGCACCAGGCCCACCAAATCCTCGTCCTCTGTTGCCGCGGCCACCAAAAAAATCATCCCTCCCACCATTACCATTCATAGGATCATCTCTAGGGCCACCAGGTCCACCACGGCCACCATAGCCACCGTCCCTCATGCCACCTCGGCCCCTATAGCCACCATCCCTCATGCCACCACGGCCCCCAAAGCCACCATCCCTCATGCCACCACGGCCACCACCCCCAGAATCAAAACGCCTATCTTTGCCAAAACTAGGCCCACCACGCATAGCAATGTCTCGCACTTCTGGGGGAACATGCTGGTTGGCTCCCTCCAGTACTTTTATCAAATCAGCTGCATATTTCCAGTCCTGCTCAGAGAAAAAGGTGTAGGATACTCCTGTTGCACCAGCCCTCCCAGTTCTTCCAATTCGATGTACATAGTCCTCAACCCCAGTTGGGAAATCATAGTTAATCACCACCCTGCAACACAAAAAACAAATAAATAAATAAATAAAATATTTTTAAGAACGCCAAACTTCTATAGGATTTCCTGTATGAAGTAAACGTTTAACAAACATAATTGTGTGAAATAATCATGTCAACTCATTGTTCATCATTTTGAACATATTCGTTTGCAAGAAACCAAAGATATGACCTAACCTTATATCCTTGATATCAAGCCCACGAGCAGCAACGTCAGTGGCAACTAAAACCGGAGATTTTCCACTTCGAAACTGATTCAAAACCCAGTCTCTCTCGCCCTGAGATTTGTCTCCATGAATTGCCACAGCACCAAAGCTACGTCCAATGCTACGTGCAAGCTGATCACATAACCTTTTTGTGGAACAGAAAATGATGACCTTAGAACCTCGTTCTTGTGCTCTAAGGATTTGCTCTAAACGGCGTTGCTTCTCCATTTGAGGGACAACTTCAACATACTGCAAATTAAAAACATATATATCAATTTTTGTGAGGGGAAAATGTAAATGACTCGCAGAAGCTACTAATATCTATACCATTTTGTGCGGGGAAAATGTAGATACTAATTACAACTAAAAAGGTACTTATTGCATTTTGAAAAACAGTAAAAGAACAAGATGTAGTTGAAAATAAACCTGTGTAATAGCCTTGTTTGCAGCAAGCTCATCAACCCTGCCAATGTTCACCTGGACAGGATTAACAAGAAGATCACTTGCTATTTTTCTTACTTCTTTTGGCCAGGTTGCCGTGTACATGAGAGTTTGTCTGTGTGGGGGTATTTCATTCACAATTTTGCGTATTTGAGGTTCAAAACCCATGTCAAGCATTCGATCTGCCTCATCGAGCACAAGAAGGGAAACTTGCCCGAAGTTTATCTTTTTCATTTCTAATATATCATTAAGCCGACCAGGAGTCGCAACGACTATATCTGCTCCGCGATCTAATTCTTTTAGTTGAGGACCCTTAGGAGCTCCACCATAGAGGCACTGCATTATCAAAAGAAACACCTAAATCAATAAAGTGAAGCAATATGGAAAAAAATCACTTTTTTGTTTGGCCAACAAGAATAAACAATAAGCACTAAGCAACACATTCGCACCGTGCAGGAAACTCTTGATGATCGTCCAAATTTGATGACCTCATCTTGTATTTGAGTTGCAAGCTCCCTTGTTGGAGCCAAAACCAACACCGTTGGGCCATTTTGAGGATTATTATGCCGTTGTCTAAGAAGAATAAAGGCAGGGATCAAGTATCCTAATGTTTTTCCAGAACCAGTTTTAGCAATCGCCACTATGTCCCTACTTTGAAGAGCAATAGGCCATGTTTGTGCCTGAATGGGGGTGGGAGAAGAGAAGCCAGCGGAATAAATCTGCCAAAAAAAAAACCAAATAGAATGATCAGCCGCACTAATTGATACAAAAGAAAAAGCTAAAATACGGTTAGTTATCTATCGTAAAAGGAAAATATAACCAAAAAGCCCATGGGTGTATGGTTGCTTACAGAAGCAACTTGAGGCAACAAAAGAGGGCAATAAAGACATAAGAGGTAGAGCCAATAAGCAAGAAATCCCAGTCACATCAGGTGTGATTTGGACAAAGGGCCAAGTACCCTTCTAGAAGATGCACAACAAAGGCTCCAACAGTTCATTTTGCAGCCTCCAAAAAATCAGAATAGTTGTTGCACGTGTAAGTGTGCCACTAGCAGTGCAGCGTACGACATATGCTCCTCCTCCGGAGCAGATATCGCACCTGCGACAAGTGAGAACTGATAAGTTCAGAAGTAATGAAACATAACAAAAGTAGTATTTAAAATTAAGGTGTGTGATCTCATACTCTCGTTTCCTTAAAAATGAAAAGATAATGATAACAATAGGAAGAATACGAACATTGAAATGTGGCAAAAGTAAAACTTACCTCTCTCAGTATCTCAGGGGGAAAACCAGTGGCTTCAAATGTCACGAATGGGGCAGGAACATTATCACCCTATGCAATCCAATGTAAATGCAATTTATCAATACTTGCTAACGCTACCAGGTAATGATTATAAAAGAGTGAACAAGCACCACTGACAGTCATGTTGTACTCATTAGTTGTCAAAGAACAACAATCTTGGCCAAGAACAACACAGAATATTTACTCGGCTCACAAAATCAAGTAGATTTGGCGCTTAAAAGAGTGCAAGCTTGCTGTTGTTTTAAACAAGAATAACAAAAAACGATACTTGACCTCACTTAAGAAAATTCAATACTTCCTAACATTGCATTAGCACATTAATAATACCCAAGCAAGCAAAAATACCAACCGTTGCATTAACTTCATGCTGCTGGCGATAGGCTTCTACAGGCGAGAGACCTGAAATATCCTTCGATCCATGGTATGGAGGTTTCATCATAGCATACGGTGGGCCACCTGTTGAGTGATTATACATATTTTGCATGGCATGCCCTGGCTCATTGCTCAATGCGCTAGCATGACCAGGTGCAACACTTGGATATGGGCCACTGAACCTCATGTCCTGGAAGAAATAAACACACAGTCGCCAACAGAGATCAGAACAATCTTTCAAATTAGATAAAAACTAAAAGTAATGCAGAACCATACCTGCTGACTTCTAGCCACTGGAATTGCAGCTAGCTTGGGCTGCTGAGGACCTGGAATTGGTGTTTCCTTGTTACTATTGAAGGCATAATTGTTTCCACCTCTTCCGTGGAAATTACTCTCATGACCCGCCCTTAATCCACCAGGAGCCATATTTGACTGGTGATTGTGCATTAGTATTGGGTCCCTCTCATTTTGAAACCTACTACCATGTGAATGATGCGCCAAATCAGTGCCCATTGGCTGCAATCGAGTGGTGGAGCCAGGTTGTTGCATGTTATGGACAGAGCTACCAAACTGTTGGGATTGACCTGAATGAGCGCCAATCTGTAGAATGTGTGCTGAAGTAGTTCCAGCAGCAAGGTTCTGAGCAGCTGAACCACCAGCCTGCTGAAACTGGGAAGGAGAAAACCCAATTTGATTTCTGTTTTGAAGATCATCTTCTTCCCTCTTCGGGAAACCTGGCTTAAAATCTTGTTGATTTACAAATTGAGGCACTTGAACACCCTGCTGAGTTGGTTGTGGAGTAATTTGTTGTCCTTGAGGAAGCACACTTTGTTGATAAGCCATATACTGCAGCTGCTGATGTGTCAATTGCTGTCCTTGAGGTAGTGCCATTTGTAAGCCTTGATTCGGAGGTGTTTGTTGTTGCATTTGATGGATGACCTGTTGGGGTATTTGCTGACCAGGCTGCTGTAATCCTTGCTGACCCGACTGCTGTGGAATTTGCTGAATCATTTGTTGAGCTGGATGCTGCATAATTTGCCCAAGTTGTTGGACTTGTCCATGCTGTTGCATAGCTGGCCCAAGTTGTGGATTCTGCTGTTGTAACATTAGATGTCCATGCTGGTTCCCTTGTTGCCCCTGCTGCTGAGGAACTTGCGTTACTTGCTGACCATTCTGGGCCAAGACGTCGTTTGGTGGAACTGAATGGGCCCCCGGAATTGGCGCCAACTTAGGTGTAGAAACGGCGGGAGGCGGTCCAGATGGCAACGATGGAGGCAAACTGGCGGGTTTCTCATATTGGGTTACATTAGTTTCAGGATTCCAGTAGTATAGAACGCCTGTGCTTCCATCTATCAAACCCTTCCAAGGTTTTGGAAGTGTAGGGTCCTCAGGTGCATACCGTGGACCAAGGGAAGCCGCTGCTGGCTCCGTTGCTGCCATGCTCAAGCTTTATAAATGACCTGGATGATACAGATAGAGAAGACGTTACCACCCGTGATGTAACAAATTCAGCAAAATAACACTGATAAAGAAAAAATAATAAAAAAAGGTAAAGCCCCAACAATTATAGCAAGTTACCAATATGGAAACGAAAAGACTCGCATCAAAAACATCAATTCTAATGAAAGAACTACAACGCCAGTGATAAAAAATAAAAAAAATAAAAAAATACGAAAATACGAAAATCCAAAATCCAATATTCTCATTTGCCATAATTTAATATTAGAAAAGTGAGATAGAAAGTATTTAACATGGAACTGGCGAAAAGTTCTACATCACCCTACCATTAAAAACATTGCTATTACATTACATTAATAGAATGTCATTCACCAACTGAACCAGAACAACCATATCTAAACCCAGTAACAAAAAAGGCATACAAAACTACAAATAAACTAACAATAGGATCTCGAATAGCTATTTTCTCGGCAACCAAACACTTCCTACATTCTAAAATATTTAGCCTTCATCATTCTTATTTTCTTTTTCATCGCGAAACTCAATACGGAGCCGTTGAAAAGACAAAATCCGTACATCAAATCAACCACGGAAAAGGCAAACATTGAACGAACATTCGAAAAATCCACACCCTGTCGAAAAATTACGTGCATACCTTGTGTAATAAAGCAAATAATAATCCGTCTAGATCGGAAAGCAGAAAATAGAGCGAACAACGAAAAACCCTAAAATCGATGGGGATTGAAGAAGCGGCTTTCTGATTTCTCTTTCTCTCTCTCTCTCTCTTCTCTCCAGAAGGAATTCGGAGGAGAAGAAGAAGAGGATTTTCAGGAGAAAAGGCTCGAGAGTTTTGAGGGAATTTCAAGGTTAGGGTTAAGGTTGAGAAAAGTATCATCTATAGCGAGGACTATAGTAGAGTTGTTGCACTCTCAAACTGGTGACCGCACGAGTAGTTGATTCGGTTCTCATGCGTGTATTGGGCCCATAAATCCACATAGACAACCAGGCCCAACTCCGTGCGAGGAAAAAAAAAACGACTGGAAACTTCTGAAAATTTCCGTTTCCTTCCTTAAAAACACAAAAAATAAATAAATAAATAAAAATAAACAGTGAAAATATGGTTACCGCGGCAGATTGTGGTAAGTCTTGAATTCCAAAGAAATTGGGCAGAGCAGAGAAGAGAAGGCAGTAAAGTAAGTGAAATACATACGACAGAGAAAGAAAACCGAAAGACGACATCAATTGTGTAGTCTTTGGAGTGATTGTAAGAATCCATTTCCATGGCGGCTATGGAAGCTGCTGAAGCACCAGAGCTGGCTCTGGCCGACACCGACGTCAACTGGGACAGGTTTGGTTTCCATTTTCTACTTTCAGGTCTCGTAATGAGTCTTCTCTTTCATTGTTTTTACGATTTCATTCTTCTCTTTCATTGTATTTACGATTTCATTCTTCTCTTTCATTGTATTTTTGGCTCTATAAACAACAGTTCTTGCTCATATTATGCTTAGTTTTGTCTTAATTTTTTTGTATTTTTTTTAAAAGACCCTTTTATCATACACTAGCTTCTGAAAAGTCTTTGAGCCAGAATGAAAAAGTTCATCTTTATTAACACACATATATATATGTATATATATGCGAACAAATGTAATATAAGTAGCCACATTTTGTCACATTGAGATCAAGGTCTTTTCGTCAAGATTACATTTTTATCTACCCGCAGTAGTTTTTTTTTTTTTTTTTTTTTTTTTTTTTGTAATAACATGCTCAGTTTTGCTATCAGCCAAAAAAAAAAATGACACCTTTTTGTCACATGTAACTAGGGTAACATATGTAAACTTCTAGCACAAGGAAAAAAATAAATTGTAACACAAAATATGATATGGCAATCCTAGGTTGGACAAGACGAGGTTCCATGTAATAGGGGCAGTGCTGTTCACATTGCAGCAAGGAATGCTGCATCCGACGGCGGTGGTGAAGACGAGAATGCAAGTAGCGGATTCAGGGCTTTCCCACATGCGTGGCACCACGGTGTTTAGGCACATTTTGAAGAGTGTTGGCATTCTTGGCCTCTACAGGGGATTTGCGACATCCGCCATTGGATCTTTGCCGGGGAGAGTGCTGGCATTGACATCCTTGGAAGTGTCAAAAGACATGATGATGAAGTACACTCAAGACCTCGACTTGCCTGACGCCACGCGTGTGGGCCTCGCCAATGGGGTGGCTGGCATGTTCTCCAATCTGGTTTCTTGTGTCTACTTTGTGCCCTTGGATGTGGTGAGTAATAAAATGTTTCCTCTCAGTTTTTGGAACTTCCATTTGTTTAGTTCTTATGAAGAGTATGCTATTGTCAATAGTTGTTCAGTTTTGTGCTTGTTATGCCATGATTCTAACAGCATTTTGTTTTTTTAGTTTAGATTTAAAGGAGTCTATAAATTGGATAAGTTTTGCTTGGGTAGAAGTTTGGAAAAGACATGATCTTGATTGTTGGCAGGCTATTCTTTGATCTCTCATTTTTTTGCTTTCCAAGACCAATCTTTCACTTGTGTGTTTTCTTAAACCTTGTTTTTGGCTCTATTCTGTAATTGCAGCAATAATTTTGTTTCTTTACTCAAAATTATGGGATGAAAAATGTGTGATTTACAATTCCCTTGTTCTGATTTTATATGCGTTGTGCTGCTCAGATATCCCAGAGACTAATGGTTCAAGGTCTTCCCGGAACTACTTACTGCAAGGGCCCATTTGATGCCATTCGCAAAGTGATGAAGACCGAAGGTCTTCGTAATTTGTACAGAGGGTTCGGATTAACGGCAGTGATACAGTCACCAGCGTCTGCACTCTGGTGGGGTGCCTATGGTGCTTCCCAACACATCGTTTGGAGGTATGTTTTGGCTGTATCACTTCTATAATTAGTGCATTGCAGTTTTATAATCCACTTGCAGTATCTTGAAGTTAATGCTGAGCACTTTTGTTGGGATTTTAGGAGTTTAGGCTATAGAGATGATGTGGACAAGAAACCATCTCATATGGAGATGGTCACAATTCAGGCGACAGCGGGAATGATTGCCGGTGCTTGTTCATCGGTTATCACTACTCCAATTGACACTGTAAAGACAAGGCTTCAGGTATATTTAGTATGCGTTAGCATAAAATTCTGTTTCCGACGCACCACGACGTCCAATGCAAGTTGTCATGTTGTGGGTCTATGTTTCATTTAAAGGTTATTGATGATTACGGGGTAGGAAGACCATCGGTTCTAAAGACAGCAAAGACACTCTTTAAAGAAGATGGCTGGTGGGGCTTCTATAGAGGATTCGGGCCTCGGTTCTTAAACATGTCACTCTATGGAACTACAATGATAGTTACTTACGAACTTATAAGTAAGTATTACGGAGTTTTCATCCAAATCTATACTCCTGAAGGCAATTGCAAAAGGCTTTGTGCTTATATACTCGTGCAATTTTCCATATTACTGGTCTAATTTGGTGATACATCATGAATGGTGACAGCATTTCACCTCTTTTCGTTTGTAATATATATATATATATATATATATATATATTGCTGGCCATGATCATGTTACTAAAGAGCCTTTCTTTTCTTGTTGGTTGCTTTTTGATTGATCAGAGAGACTATCAGTAAAGAAGGAATGACATACTAAAGACAAGGTTGTTTGCTGCTGAAGTCGATTCCTAAACTAAGAGGAACGGAACTACATAACATTACACACCAACTCAACAAACTTTGTTGCAATTGATTGGGTTCTGTCGTTTTTGTTATTTTCTTTCTTTCTTTCTTTCTTTTTGCAAGCATGTAAATATATGAGGCAATTGAATTTTGTTGCTTATTCTTTTTGCTACAGTTTTTCATTCATTTGTTGTAGTCAACTAAATGGACTGGTTTTTTGTTCTTTTGTTTTTTTGTCCTCTTTTTTTTTTGCAAAAAACACAAAAGGACTAGTTTTCAAAGGTGCGGACAAGAAATTAAAAAAACAAAACAAAACAAAGGAAAAGGAAATTAATTACACACAATTCTTCCATTGGACCACTTGCATGGAATAAACTTGAACAAGACTCGATTCAATTTTTCATGTGAACAAGCACATTGTATTTGTTGATGTTGATCTGAAAAAATAAATAAAGAATACCTTTGGGAGGGCCGCGGAACAAATGGAAAATCAAATACATTGACTTTAGAAAATCCCACCTGGAGGATGCAGACTCCAGACCAGAGCCAGACTATAATAAGAAAGAGGGTAATTAATTACTCATAATTAATTAATTAATTAATTATAGTTATTCAATTTAATTTAAGAAAAGGAAAATAAAAATAGTATTTTAAAAGGGGGGTAGCGTTCACAACATAAATTAGAAAGGAATCTGATTTTCCTTTCCACAGATCCACACCACACCTCTCTCTCTCTCCACTTTCTCTCTCTCTGACTCTTCCTCGAATCTTCCTCTCCTTCATATCCATTCCCTGTTTGTTGTAAGTTTTCCATTCATTCCTAGATCTGAATCTGACAATTTGAATTTCAAAATTTAATCTTGGTTAATTGCAACCCAGAAAAGTTCTTTCTTTCTTTCTCATGATCTTCAAAGATTTGATCTGAAGAGAAATATTAGGCTGTGATCGGATTACCACTTGCATTTCCTTGCAGATCATCATTAGAAAATTTTTAAAAAAAAAGTTTTGATCATATTAGAGAGTCTAAATTTTGCAAATTTCTAACTGGAATTACGTTGTTCAGATTCAAGATGGGATTGTCATTCGCAAAACTGTTTAGCCGACTATTTGCTAAGAAAGAGATGCGAATTCTTATGGTTGGTCTTGATGCTGCTGGTAAAACCACCATTTTGTACAAGCTCAAGTTGGGAGAAATTGTTACCACTATTCCCACCATTGGTATGTTTCTTATCTGTGTTCTGATCTAATTCTAAATAACATGTTTGTTTAAGGATCCGTTAGTTGTGGAGGTATTAATGTTTTTTGCCCAGATTGTGTGTGATTATTAAGCATTTGACCAAGAATGTTGGCCTTATTGTTCAGTTTAATGCCTTAAACATCCAAATTCATAGAAGAATTAGCTAAATTATTTACCTTGAAAGAAATCGAAACCATAATTTTAATAGAACAGTGTCACGTGTCCCAATTTTTACATCCAAGCTTAAGTTGGGGGAAATGTTTAATAATGTATGCGGATTTTACCCCTCCTTTTTTTATTTTTTATTTTTTAAATTTTCATGATCTAAGTGTTTGACTAAAATGACATATTTGGTTGAAGCACCATTTAGTCTACGAATTTTGATACTTCTGCGAAGATGACGTGGAAGAAGCTCGGATAAATAAACTCTGAGATAGTAACATGTTAAAGTAACTGAACGTTTCTAAATGCCCTCAAGATCAGAGTATTTTTGTCTTTAAACATCGAAAGTCAAAGAAATATCAGGTGAATTATTTACCTTGAAAAATTTTGACATACTTTTCAAGACCTCAGTAGATGTCAATAATGCGTAGTATAGGTTAGATCAGGCGGATATGTCGTTAAATTTGGGTTGTTAGCCGATTTGCCAATCTGTTGTTCTTGGCAGGATTCAATGTGGAAACTGTGGAATACAAAAACATTAGCTTTACAGTCTGGGATGTTGGTGGTCAGGACAAGGCAAGCAATCTCTTTTATTAGCACTATCTCACTTGGTCACTTTTATCTTTAATTATCCGCTATTTTGAATCTACTTGACCGTAAATAAATTAAAGAAACGCAAGAGACCTAATTGGCTGCTTTTACTTAATGCTTCTTGTTTGACGGGTTGTTGGTAACAGATTCGACCTTTGTGGAGACACTACTTCCAAAACACACAAGGCCTTATCTTTGTGGTCGACAGCAATGACCGTGACCGTGTAGTCGAGGCTAGAGATGAGTTGCATAGGATGCTGAATGAGGTAACTGAAAGCTTCAACTCGATGCACCCTTCACTGCATTTCTTGATGAAAAGTGATTATGATCTGGGAAATAGTCTCCATGACAATACAGTATTACGATCTTTTCTTATGAACAGGATGAATTAAGGGATGCTGTTCTGCTTGTGTTTGCAAATAAGCAAGATCTACCAAATGCAATGAATGCCGCGGAAATTACTGATAAGCTCGGCCTTCATTCTCTTCGACAGCGCCATTGGTAAAGAATCGTCCTCTTTTCTTCTCTGGTGCAATTTTACTTTGTGCTCTGCCTGGGCTGAAGTATTTGGTTTTTATATTTCTTCCAGGTATATTCAGAGTACTTGTGCCACTTCTGGTGAAGGATTGTATGAGGGGCTGGACTGGCTCTCAAACAACATCGCTAGCAAGGTAGTCTTCACATATAATCTAATTAAATTTCGATGAACCATGACTTTAATATTGTTCTATTTGATCCACTCAATTTTGTTCTTACATTTGTTCATATTTTTGTTTATTCAGGGTTAGATGACCGTGGGAGTGGTTGCTGCAGTCTCGAGTTAGCTAAGGCTGCACTGCAAATGCCGTGTTATAGATATTCATCCCAGAGTGTTGTTTTGCTAGATTTGAAATGTTATCGACTCTTATTATTATTGCACGGGAGTTCTTTTGATTCTTATGCTGCTTTCTAATTGTTTTTGTAATCCATGTGTACCTTGATTGTGGTTTGAGCTGACATTTTGGTAATCCAAAAAATGGGCATGTTGGAGATTCTATCTCATTCTCATCCATTTTACCATTCCTAATCCTACCGGGGAAAAAGAAAAGAAAAGAAAAATCAATTCACACGTTATCCAAGATACATATACTCATTAACATAGGAGTAAATATCAAAATATGCATCTTAAATCTAAGAGCAAAAGGTTTATCACCTCTGTTAATCGAGATATCTCGATGTCTGGCCTTGTTTAAAGCATAGCATACATATAGCATACATTAAGCTACTAATCGCATAAAGCATAGCATATATTAAACTACAAATCGCATTAACATATTTAAGCTGTGTTATTATTTGGCCAACATATTTTAGTTATTTAATATTAGGATCATATAGGAAATTAGTTTCTTTAAACTTTAAATGATTGAATTTAAAAAGCATTTTCTCAATATAATGAGATTAATACAATGAGTAATCTCTAATATGCTTCCTCATTTTTACACCTAGATAATATCTATCCCTCGAGATATTTCATCTTAAATTGTGAACTTAAATACTTCTTAATGTTATTTACTCCGTATATGTTATTTTTAAAGATAAGCAAGTTATCAACATACAAACAAATAATCATACCAAAATCATTTGTAAATTTAAAATATATATGCATTTCTCTGCAGTATTATGCTTAAAACTATGAGACACAATAATAGAATTAAATTTCTCGCGCCATTATTTGGTGCTTACTTTAATCTATAAAGTGACTTGACTAACTTGTAAACATTTTTCTTATTTCTAGGTAATACAAACCCTTCAGGTTGTGCTATTGTGTTTTTTTTTTTTTTTTTTTTTTTTGAGAGAAATTAAAACAAACTTTTAAAAATCCATTAACTTAA